ACTCTCTTCCTTTCCTTTCTTTTTCTTTTTTACTTCTTTTTTTTTTTTCTATTCTTGCTTACCGTTTTTTTTTCTCCCTTTTATTTTTCGTCGTTTGTTGCCCTGGCGGGCGGAGGAGGGTCAGGCAAGTGCGCCCCGCCAGGACGCCTTCACGCCTCCGATGTCTCCACGGCAATCTCCAGCGCCGAAGAGCAGCGCTGCGGCGGGTGGAGGAGGCTCGAGGGCGGGACCGGGGCGCAGAGGGACGCCCTCACGTTCTCTAGGCAGTGGCCGCGGTCGTAGTAGTGGACATGCCCCGCCTCCCCGCGCAGCTCCTCCACGGTTGTCATGTTTCGCGTGACCAGCATCAGGTGGAAGGCGGCCAAGGGGGCGACGAGGAAGCAGGTGGCGGCCGCCACCAGCAAGAGCAGCGGCTCCACAAAGTGCGTATCCTCCAGGGCTGCGAGAAACGCGCCCCGGTTTGCGTGCGCCGCGTCCCGCGACAGCAGCGTCGTCCGCAGCACGAGGCTCCGTATCCCGCCAACCAGCACCGTGAGAGCCAAACCCAGCGACGACCACAGGAAGAGGAAGTAGAACCTGTAGTTGCGCTCGCCGACGCAGGTCCCGACCCACGGACAGTGGTGATCGCGGCGGGCGATGCAAACGTCGCAGAAGCGGCAGTGAATGGCGCGCAACGGCCTATAGTTGTTGCAGCAGTAGCACCACTTGCGCTCCACCAGGGCCCGCTGCCCCTGGCCGTTTTCATCGATGTACGAGACATCCTCCACAGGGGGCTCGAGGGGCGGAGCGCCCTCCAGCGGCGGTGGGGCCTTCGGGCAGATGCCCGGATCCATCGTGGCGCTGCGAAACATGAGCCCGAGCGACACCACGGCAAAGCACCCGCAGGCGACGCGTGCGCCCAGCCCAATCGCGTAGTTGATAAAAAAGAGAGAAGGTACGGCAATCATCAGCGCCGTTGCCAGCATGAGGGCATAGTCTGGCCCCAAGCAGAGGCGACCCCGAAAGAACACACGCGCGTTGCCTATACGCTCAACATGCCAGCAGCCCGGCATTTACCGCCGCCGTTGCACCGTCTTCGCTTCCCTACTTCCGTGTTGCCGCAGACGGCCCTTTCTCCATCAGCGCAGGGGCACACCCTCGAGGCCGGGAAACGCCAATTTGAAAACACAAACGAGAGAAACAAGAGGCAGCACAGACACACACACACAGAGAGAAAGAAAGAAAAAAATAGATCAAAAAAAAAAGAAGCGAAGCGGATTTTGTTTCCTTTTCTTTTTTTCCGCGCGCAAAGACAACCTCAAGGACATTGCCAGCAGCCCACAAAAGTGAAGTAGAGAGGTGAAAGGGGACGGGGCAAAAGGAGCATCGCGCAGCCAAAAAAAAAACAAGTGTGAAGTACAACTCAACCAAAACTTCATTACCAGGCAACCACGCCGCCACCATCGCCCGCTAACCCGCTCTATCTCCCTTTGCGATGCCGTAATAGTCGCAGAAGTGCCGGCCCATGTGATCACGATCCATCCACTTCATTGAGAAGGCCTGCTTCACCCGAAACCCGTACTTAATGAGGCTAGCCTCCAAGTTCACGATCTGGTGCACTGTCCACGGCAGACAAATGACGTACGGTGCCCCCGCCCCCGCCCCTCCCCCGCCTCTTCCTGAGATGCAGCGACGGCCTCGATAAGTTCCCGCAGCCGCCCCCAGCCAATCCTCGCCTCACCCTTTGAGGCAGAGAAGCCTGTGGGCTGATAGGCGCAACGCCACTCAAACGGCACAAGGAACTGCATCAGGTAGGCCCTGAGGCCAAGCTCCAGGCCCGCCGGGTACAGAAATGGCGGCTCCCGCCCGCCGCGAACAACGTCGAGAAAGCGATGATGTACCCCCAATGCAGGGAAGGTGATGTCCCGCAGCGGAAGCAAGGCCGCCGGGGAGATCCTGTCGATGCGCTCAAAAGGGACTCCCTCCATCATGACAGCATCGCACAGGGAGGCAGTCTCCCCAACTGCAGCGAAGAAACTCTTCTCCCCCACCTGTGGGCACGGAATCGCCATCACAACAATCTTTTCATTGGGCGAAACAAGTTCCAGAATCTTTGCGTCATACCGCTCCCCATCGCTGGGTGACACGTGCAGGACGCAGGGCGGCGGCAGCAGACTCCTGTACGCCGGCGGCACCTCCGTCAGCGTGTGCCTCTCGGTGATCTCGCGAAACCACTCGAGCACCTCCGCCCGCCCCATCCGGCACCAGTGGACCGCGTAGGCGTAGACAAGGGCGTCCACATTCACGGCGGCAAAGGTGGCCAGAGCCAGCGCGACCACAAACATCAAGCCCCAGCGCATCATCCGCTGGTACATGTTGGCCACATGAAACCGATCCAGCACCTCGGCGGCAAACAGTTCCCGTGGAAAAAAACCACGCGGACGGCGCAGGCTGGGATTGTTGGCGCTCATCTTCTCCTGCGCCGCCATCCACCGCGCCACCTTGTGAAACTCCTCATCCACGGCCCGGTTGATGAGCCAAGAGGGTTTCCCAAAGAAGCATCGGATGCTGTTTATCTGCCGAATCAAAAGGACATGGCGGATCACAGGAAGCTGCAGCCACGGAGCACCGGGGAGCGGCTCGTAGCGACGCAACACGTCGAGGACCTCTTCCTTCGGGATGTACTTCTTGTGTTTATGCCGCCGTGCGATCATGAAAAGCTCAGCGTGCAGAATCAAGCACGCCTTATCAAAACGGAGCTTCTTTGGGAAGGTCTGCCGGTAAACATCGCCGATAATTTGCATGAAGGGCAGCACTGCATCCAACTGAGGGTGCGAAGAGAAACGGGGCAAGAACGCACATAAACAGAAACAAAAAAAACATGGGGTTCAGAACGAGCGAAGACAGAGTCACGCGCAATGAAAAGGAACAACAACAACAACAGCCGCAAGACGCAGTACAAGCTTCCACCCCACAGACACACACAGACACCACACACTTGACAAGCGCACTCTCACTCGCCCCCTCCTTTAATGGCCGGGCACACTCTTCAAAACGAGGGCCGGCGGCGGCTCTGGGCGTTGCTTCGGCGCATCCTGCGAGACGAATCGTCCCGTTTTGGGGTCGAAGCCCGGCGGCAGCTCGTACGGGTCGCGCCAGTTCTCCCGAACGGAGACCAACTTGGAGGAGTAGAAGGAGAGGAGAAACACCGACGGGGTGATGAGGGCGATAAGCATCAGGGCACTGGCAAATTTGTTCTTTTTGAAGGACTCACGGATAAAACGCTGCGCCGTCGGCGAATTCGCATCCGCCACCGTCTCCTGGACGCTTCTCTCAACCTGCTTCCACTCCTTCGGCTCCATCCCTTGCCAGTCCCCCCCCCCCCCGGCCAGAAGTCCTCTTCGCTGCGGGGGCGAGGCGAGAAACACCCAAACGATGTGCAAAATGGAAGAAGAAGAGGGCATTTAAAAAGTGGCAACTCAGCAACTTCAAACGTGCGAAAGCGCGGGAAACAAGTGCGAGCACACATCCACTGGACACAAGTACACACATACACATACATATATATATATATATATAACGAGAGTCGTGCTAGATAGCTGCCTTTAGAGTTCACGGCAGCGAAAAAAGGGGGCATTTGCGGATGGGAATAAAAAAAAAATAGCCTGCAACGAGCACACCAAGGCGCCGGAATCGTCATCCCCTACTTTTTTTCCTCTCTGTATTTTTGAATCCCGCCAAGGTTCTCGTCACCCCCGATATTGTAATGTTTCAAGCCGAGATATTCCAGCCAGCCGTTTTTGCGTTGCGTCATAAACAGGTCGTAGTCCTTCTCGTTACGCCGCGTCCAGATCGACTTCTTTGCCCGCTCAAGCCAGTCATTGCCGGCCACGTACTCGACGTACAGAGGGCCCAGGTAGCTGGGGAGCACGAGAAACACGATCATGCCCACCGTGAAGCCCACCGTGATCCGGCGCGCAGAGCGCAGGCCCGCACGCTGAACGCTTTTCTTCAGATTGCGCCGAGGGTGAAAAAAGTTCTCATGCGTTGAGGCCCCACCCGCCGTGTCGTAACCACCGGCGCGTGCCGTCGTGCCGGGCGCCTTGTTCTCCATCCTATGCCTGGAGCGGGTGCGAGGGAAGCGGCAAAGCAAAATACAAGAGAAAAGGCACGCCAGAGTAGAGGCGTTCAGCCGTCCGCCCGCCCACCCCGCACGAAGAGAAGAGCAAAAAAAAAAAAAGCAAAAAAAAAATAATAATAATAAAAAAGAGAGTGGCGGAAGGGAGGCGCAGGCAGCCACAACAACGAGAGTGGCACAGACACTCGGAAAAAAGGGGGAAGCAGCGGCAACCTAAGAAGCCAAAAAAAGTGCCCTCGCAGAACTTTACAAAAAAAAAAACATCTGTTCAAAAAGAAACCCCAAAACGCCGCAGACGCAACAGTCGCGTTGCAACTTGGACCGCGAACGTTGCCGTGAAGAGAATAAACAAAAAAGTAGACACCTCAACCAAGCCGACACCCATCCAGCGACAAAAATAACGATCCACACCAGTGGGCGGTCGCCACCACGCCTGCAGTGCAAGGCAGTGACGAGAGACCTCACACATGCGGGGGCAAACAGGTTCTTCGGCACCGTCGCAATACAGCGTGTCGTTGCTGTGATGAAAAGTGCAGCGGCCGACCCTCCCGCGTGTGTGCCCTCCCTCCTCCGCCGCAGCCGCCTCCATCTGCGTCGCCGGTATGAACTGGGCGCGGCGAAGCGGCGAGGCAAGCAGCTGTAAACCCCCATCCCTCACGACGGCTCTGCCCTTAAGCAGCGTCGTGCCGCACGTCACCCAACCGCCGATATCCTGGGAAGCGCTGGCGGTGGGAGACTCCAGCGTCGCCGTCAGCGCAACCTCAACCTGCAGCGCCGGTGCACTTGAGAGGGTGAGGCTGCAGCCAGTGAAAGCAACCCGCGAGGACAAACTGCAGTGGCGCCTTTCCTTAGAGTCAAGGTCAGTGAAGATCGCTGTGGACGTCTCTAGCAGCAACTCTGCCGATTTCCCCGAGGAGAACAGGCGGTAGAGCTCAAAGTGAAACGTGTCCTCCAGCCGGGAATGTCGCACGAGGCCACTCACTCCAAGGCTGAAGAGAAAACACGAAGACACCAGCTCTGTCTCCCGCATAGTGGATTTTTGCGGGAATCGCAGTCGTGCGATGCCGGAGGGATACACGCCCAACGACTCCCCCCGCTCCAGCAGGATGGCGCTTGTGGCCCCATCCAGGCCTTGTATATAGAGCAACTGGGCATCGGCGTCGCCGGCATCGTGAGACAGAAGCCAACGCCGTGCCACTCCAAGGGAAAGAACGGCCTCGTTCGAGGACACAGTTAAATTCCCGTCGCGCCAGTGGGCCACCAGCATGTGCAGTGAAGCGGAGGCATCATCGTATCCGCACGGGTACAAGACCTGAACCGCAGTGTGGGGAACGTAAAACACCACGGATACCGCACCGTCCACGTTGCTCAGTGCTTCTGGTGCCTGCAGGCAGGGCAGGAAGATGTCGTCAATGGCGACAAGCGAAGGCCCAGTAGTTTCTGAGCTTGTCGCATTCTCCGGCCGCAGCAGGAGGGCCACACGCAGTTGCAGGCCCTGGACGCCCTGCACCATGTGCCAGTCGAGAAGCGCAAGGACGTCAGTGCGAGCCACCACGTCGTGCACCTCCCTTGCCGCCTGACGCGTGAAGTGCAGTGAACGCCCCGCCGACTCCAGGAGAAGGAGTGCGTCGCAGTCTGAAGTCCATAGCAGTAGCAGAAGGATGAGAAGGAGGCTCGCCAAGAAAGAAAGCATTTGAAGTCCCATTAGTCTCCGTGGCCCTCTCTCTCTCTCTCTCTCCTGGAGCGTGTTTTTGCCTTAGAGAGGCCCCAAATGAGTAATATGAAAAACACAAAAAAAAGAGAGCATGAATATGCGTACAACAGGCACATATTTACGGATTTTTACTCTCCCCCCATTTACGTCGATACGTATGGCGCGAGGAAAAGGCCCGCGGCGGTTATCACACTGCCCAATACCTCGCAGCCTTCAAGCGCAAAAGAAAAAACCCTTGGAAAAGGGTAATGGAGACAGCAAGCGTAGAGGCATGCATGTGCAGATGCATAGCTGCCGCCTTAACAGTGATGCTTCTATCGTCTCCTCTTGAGTTTTTCCTGAAGAACCTTCTCGCAGCAGGAGGGTTCCATGCAGTACCACCTCGTTGTGGACAGCGTCAAGTACTCCTTCAACGCCCTGTCGTGAATATCAAGACATGCGCAGTGGTACCAACCGTGGCACGCGCAGCAGCGCACGACGGCGTCGTCCCCCTCCGTTACACTAGCGGGGCAGCACTTCAGCGTATTGGGGGGAAACCGATTTCCTTTCGGATGCGACTCGTGCTCTGCGGCGCAGTTGTCACACAAATACACCCCTCCCGACGGCACCACGGCCGTCGTGTAACTGGCTCCACAACCACCGCAGGGGGTCCCACGGCGACTGACATCTTCGTCTTTTGAGTTGTTGGCTCTCCTCCCGCCCTCGCGCGCCCCTGTGGCTGCGGAGGCGGGGACCTCGGCCCCGCAACTTTGCCCAGCCGCCCCCAACCGCACCGCACTCTCCAGGAGGCCGTTTTTCCCCTCCATATCGTTGTGGAAGGGGGAGGAAACGCCGGCTGCGGGATCCATCTGCAGATGGACGGCACCTCAGCCACCACTGAAAAAGGAGGAACGAAGGGCAGAAAAGGGGGCGACGAGAGGAGAAAACATCAGGCAAGAAGTCAAATGGAGAAGAATAAAATCAAGGCATCAAAAGGCACTTAAATGCACAGAAACATCCCAGTTGTGCTGCAAAAGCCATACAGCTGGCTCCTCTCTTCCCTTTTGTACAAATGCTACTCCGGCTCTCCATCGCCTGCAGCGGATGTGCCGCAATTTTGCATACACTAACGAAAGGA